CCTGAGAGAAGGATACTGAAAAGTCCCCATTCCCACTACAGTAGGATACTGTAAAATCTCCATTCCCTCCCCACTCCTGAGAGAAGGATACTGAAAAGTCCCCATTCCCACTACAGTAGGATACTGTAAAATCTCCATTCCTTCCCCACTACAGGGGAAGGATACTGCAAAATCCCCATTCCCTCCCCACTTCTGGGGGAAGGATACTGCAAAATCCTCATTCCCTCCCTACTCCAGGGGGAGGATACTGCAAAATTCCCATTCCCTCCCCATTCCTGGGGAAGGATACTGCAAAATCGCCATTCCCTCCTCACTTCTGGGGGAATTTCCCTCCCCACTTCTGGGGGAGGGATACTGCAAAATCCCCATTCTCTCCCCACTCCAGGGGAAGGATATTGCAAAATCCCCATTCCCTCCCCGCTCCAGGGGAAGGATACTGCAAAATCGCCATTCCCTCCCGATCAGCTGGGATTCAGGAGGCAGAGAATAGATGGGGGCGGGGCCAGCCAGAGATGGTATTTACTGGTTCTCCGAACTTGTCAAAATTTCTGCTGCCGGTTCTCCAGAACTGGTCAGAACCTGCTGAATACACCCTCTGGGTATGAGCCTCCCTTCTTTCTTTGAGCTAAATGGATATAAAGGGCTGTGATCAATCTCTGCTTCTCCCTTGTATTTTCAGGACAGTGATTTTTAATTTGATTTTCTGTCAAGGGTTTCCTGTGCCAAAGCCAAATCTCATCACTCGTCTGGAACAAGGAGAACCACCGTGGCGGTTAGATTTTCAAGGGGTGGATGCCAACAACTCAGGTGAGAGATGAAAAAAATATCCCGCTGGCAAATGGAACCGCGGGAATCTCTCTTCTTTTGTCTCAATATAGATAGTCCTTGACTTATAACCAGAATTGAGCCCAACATTTATGTGGCTGGCTGAGACATTTGCTAAATGAATTTTGCCACCATTTTATGACCTTTCTTGCCACAGTTAAGTGAATCACTGCAGTTGATCTTTCTTCCTGAGAGACTAAGATGAATTCAGTGCCACGAATTTCTTTAGAATCATATGAAGTGCAATATAAAGAATGTGTTTAAAACACCACACATTTTATATTAAATTCTGGATAAAGCACATGTTTAGCTTATTTCGTTTTAGAAAAATCATCAGTCTTTTGCGTTGGAACTAGGGCCAGTTAAGAATGAATACTATTCTAGTTCAAACACATTTAAAAATTTTAAAATGAATATAAAGATTAAAGTGCAGAAAATCAGTGAAATTAAAATAGGCCCAAAACGTATAAAATCAAGTAAAACTAAGGAGAGCTACAATAGAAATTAAGTTTTCTTTAAAAGAAGAAGTTAAGAGAAAGGGGAAGAAAAAAAAAGAATTAAAAGTAAAAGTGGAATTTTTGAGAGCCCAAGAGAAAATGGTTAAAAGGGAAAGAAAGGGGAAAAGAGGTACTTTAGTAGATCAAAGAGAAGAATAGTAGTAAGATTGTTATGCAATTAATTAATTAAGAAATTATAATATATTGTTAATTGTAGAAAAATTGAAAGAAATGCTCCCTGTTTAAATTGAATTAGAAGATATATGTTGTTTATAGTATATATAGGAGTTATTGAAGAAAAATAAGCACAAAGATGAAAATAATAGAAGAGAATAATTTGGCTGAAAGTGAAAACGAAACTATGATGTAAAAAGGACTATGCAAATGAGTGGGTGTAAAATAAGGTGACCAGATTTTCAGATTGGAAAAGAGGGACGCCCTTGACCGGGGGGGGGGGGGGAGCTTGATTAAAAAATTAAAACGGCAGAAGCCCCTAAACCGCGTGGAAGTTGTCTGCGGGCGGCTGCCCCTCCTCCTCCCTCTCCTCCTGCCTGCGGCGATCCCAATTCACTCAGCCAGGGCGGGCAATTTCTGCATGAATGGATTCCTCGCGGCCGCAGGCGATCCCAATTCACTCAGTGATCCCAATTCACTCAGCGATCCCAATTCACTCAGCCGGGGCGGGCGGAAAATAAAATTCTCTGATTAGATTAGAATTAGATTACTCACCAGTGAGTAAGCGCAGCTGCAACCCCAAAAGACGAAAGGAAATGGAGACTCGCGCAGGCGTGCTCAGCTAAGCGGAGTCCAGCCAATCAGTGGCGTGCTGAAAATTTCCCATCCCAGCCAGCTCACTGATTGGCTGGAGTCCAGGCCAATCCAATCAGTGAGCAGCAGGCTGGGCTGGCTTAAATTTGTAGAGAACGGAACGATGAGCCAGCCCAGCGAGCTAGCAGCTGATGGGCGGGGGAGTGAGGGAGTTGCGAGCAGCGCCAAAAAAAGCGTGCTTTTTAAAGAAGCGGGTGGGACGCGGGAAAATGCATGAAAAAGCGGGGCTGTCCCGCCAAATCCGGGACGTCTGGTCACCCTAAAGATACTCCATGGAGCAAACACCACAGCAGAAAAGGCAGCATGGTCCTGCCAGCTTACACTTCTTGATTAGCAATTCCTGCAGCATTATCCTCCACCTGAAAAGGATCAGGTGGATAGAAACAACTAGGAGAGACAGTCCTATAGGTAGCTTGGTTTTGAAGTTAACAACCACCACCTTGAATCGAATCTTGTTTATTAATGCCACAGACCTTCAACTTGCATTCAAATGGATGCGAAAGTGATTGCAAATAATGTTGACATATATTTTTTCAAGTAAATGATCTTCAAACAAATGGTAAAAATTCAAATAAACAGAAGAGATGCCACTCAGATTTTCCTGCACACATAAAAAGAGTGAGGATTCAGTGGGAAGTGAGTTGAGGTGTGATTTTTAAATGCACTGGCAGCCCCTCCTTACTTTTGCTCCTGTTCTGTCCTAGGCTTCCCAAAAGCACGAAGCCGATTCCTTGTCCCGATAAAACTCCTTTTATTTAGTTTAAAGTGAATTCGTCTCCTGAAAACTCCCCTCCGCTTTCACTCCTCTTTATTCCCTGTGGGAGAAGCCATTCACTGTCAACCTGTGGCTTTACTCCCGAGTCAACCCTTGTTCCTTTCTCCTGGCAGCTCAGTACATGCACTCACTGGGAACAGGCTCCAGCTGTTCTTCTGCCCCACTGATGTCCAACTCCAAAGGAGTTGATAATTGTCAGATGGCCCTGGCTCCATCTCTGCCTCCGACACAGAGCACTCGTCAGAGCCTTCCCCAGACTCCAGGACTGCCCCATGGTCTTCCCAACCTCCTCTCTTTCCGAATCTGCTGCCAGATCTGATGGCCACTGGTGGGCCACAACAGCTCCTGATATGAGAATACTAACTGCAAAATGTATGCTGTTCAATCATATACATTAAGATTGAATATAATTATAGAATCCTTGTGATGAGTTATTATTTTGTGCATGCCAATATATAATGAAGAATCATTCCTATTCTAACCACTTAGTGTTATTATTCATATGTAGAAAAAAGTATAGCTTGAAAAAACATGCAGAATGCAAAGACATTCATTTAGTTCTTAGAATATTTTTCTATGTGATTGTGCAAATACAGTCTAATGTTTTTATCTGTGTGTAACAAAGGAAACACATGAATAAGCAATACTAATTGCAATATACTTTGTATTTTGCATTATCCTGCATTGTGTAGAAATTCATACTTTCATCCCCAGTTGGCATTCACCAGGCAACCAGAAAATTGCTGCAATCGTTTAAAAATGACTGAAATTTGAATGTAAATGCCTAATCCTCATACGAATACAGCATGCTGTTATTCCAGTTTTGTAGTTTTGTCCATTATGAAAAAGGCATGAATCTTAACTTATATTACAATAACACTGTTAAAAACACAGATAGTTTTTAATTCAAAACTGTCCTTTAGGAGATAAAGTAAGCTTCCTAACAGATGTGAAATTTAAAAGTCTTGGGTTAGCAAAATTAACTGTTGCCTTTTAAAATGTTTATTTTTATAAAGTTATCTTTTATTTTACAATCTAACTGTCAGCTAATTACAAGCAAAGGGTATTGTAGTATACTGTTGTATGAAAACAGTGTATGAGTAGTTCAGTGTTAGTACATTGCATATACTTTCTATTTAGTGGCATGTGAACAATAGTAGATTGTCTGGCATAGTAGTCTTTAGATTAAAGATCCTATCTTGTACAGAATACTGTAGACATGCTTTGGATAAAACTGGGTTTTGTAGTACATGGAAGCGTAGTGTCAAAATATGCAAGGCAACATAACATCATCAGGATTCATGCATGCATTTTCCTCGCAAATTACATTAGTCCTACCTTTGCTGTTACTTCTCCAAATAAATTCTCATTTAAATAAGTTAGTTTGAAATTGCAGGTAAAAGCATGGCTGAAGCAAAAAGGTTCCTACAAACCTTGTTTTATATTTTCCTTACCTGCCTACACAATATTTTTTAATCTTCATTATTTAGACTAGAGAAGTCTGTATGTCTGTCTGTGTGCCTGTCTATCTATTATATATTATCTATCTATC